TTTTTTAAAAACTCTTCACAGATAATACAATCATCCTCAAAATATAAGTAGAATTTTTATTAGATTAACATATAAAGCAACTTCAAATCACCTATTAAATTTTATAAAAATTTCAAGTCAACCAATCGATATAAATCTTATTGGCTAATAATATGTACGTATTTAAAGCAATAATTACTCAGCTGAATAAGATTTTATTTCATCCTTGATAAATATTTATACCCATAGACCTGAATGACAAAATGCTCAGAAAAAATCTATTTCATCATTGTATCTCTATTTCAAATTCAAAAAACTCTTTCTATTTGAAAATTCATCAGTTTTCAATGAATAGATTATAGATTGTCTATATAGATAAGAGAATAGTAACGTAACATAATAATAACAGGTAGTAAAATTTTTCAATAGTAACGTCGGAAAAATCGTGTTGCCGACTTCAATGTATAACATAAGTTTGATTGAGTGCGTTGTACAACAGTGGTAAATAAATGATATATTGGTATTCTAGTACATCGCAAAGCTAACACATGGATCTTAAAAAATATTTAGTATTTTTAATAAAATTAATGGAGTCAATGTTTTATGGCTAAATATATGAACAGCACAGTTATTTAATGCTGTGCACAATTTTCGAAACAAAGTTCCACGTTCAACGGTATTATTACTGATATAGTACAGTTAACTGAAATTAGATTATTAGGCAGCAGAGAACTGAAACGTGTATAACAACGTAGATAGCTATCGTGACCAATGATTTAATTACTATTCTAAAATTATACTATACAAGACAAAAATAGAAACTATTTAAATTTAATAATAATGATGATAATAAAAATTGATAAAAATATGGAAAATTTACTAATAGTGAATTGTGTATGAAATGTATAATTAAAGGAATTCAGATTTAACCTAATCACCAAATTAATTGTTATGTTCTTATCCGAATAATATTTACCGAAGAGGTAAATAAATATTTTATTGTAAAAATTAATCTATCATAGCCTGTATGTAAAAAATTAAAATTCATTTTTGTATGATCAATTTACATAGAAATATTTTATATAGTATTGGGTACTAAACATTTTTGGTTTCATATGTGATACGAATTATAATATTAAATTCATCAATTAAAAAAAATGACTAATACTGGAAATACTTGTAAGATATTTTAAAATATATAAAAAGGTTTAAGTATTGTTAAACACTATACTCTCCAAACAGACATTACCTATTAATTCTGTACTATATGCATATATATAGCGAATTTAAAAATTATATAGATTAAAGAAATATTTTATCAGTTGACCAAATAGAAATAAATTAATGAAAAATAAACTTTACTTTTAAACTACATGTTTTAATTTAAAAGATTTTTGTCAACTTTCAGACAGTTACAATACAAAAGCTGGTTAAATCTAATTTTCTTTTTTTTCAATTTCAATTTTAAAAACTATTATATGTTCTCAAAAACAAAATAATATCCAATGATATGGAATTATTTCATTTAATAAAGAAGAAATTATAAAAATAATTTTTTTTTTTTTTCAGATTTGTAACTATTTTGCATTTATTAACATCTAAACCAACTATATCAAATAATTATTTATAATCTCTTAAATATTCTCTAATACATAAAAAGCAAAGGACTTGAGCAAAATTATGAATATTATTTTAGCAATTCAAAAAATTTTTGAAGTGTATATAAGAATCCAATTTTAATTCATCAAAGTATTTTAAATTGAGGTAAAATTCAAGTAAATACCAGCTAGCACAATTTTGTTATCAATAAACTATAACATTAAAATAATATGAGAAATTATCAAAAATCATAAAAAGCAATTAATTTTTATTATCGTTGTAGAATCATCAAATCTGTATTAAATTTCCAATGTATAAGATGGTCCTATTATAAGCATCGTTTTTACTATATTTTCTTTTTAGTTTTTCCAATTTTCAAATTAATATTTCAATTTATTAAATTATTTATAATCTATATTGAAAATAAAAAAAAAAAACAAAAAACAAAGAACCGCAAAGAACAAATAAATTTTGTTTATATTAATCAATTATGGAAGCGTTTCAAATACATTTTTGAAGAATTAACATGGTACAATAACAAAAGAATATGACGCTATACTGTAGATCAACGATCTCATTAAAAAAATAATAGGATTTAAAAAGCGCATAAAAGCATAAAATTCTCCTAAATTAGCCTAGTTTACAGACAATTGAGCGACCCCAACGTGAGCGAAAAATATACGAAATAGCTTCGTGCACTGTATCTTATATAAAGTATTTTCTATCTTTTAAAATAAGGTACAATTTTAAATAGCATAGCATCAAGATTCTTTGTATATTTCCTATTATAAGGATTTTTTTTCTATATGAAAATATAAAATTGCTCGGATGAAAGTATCCACTCAAAATAGAAATGCGGCATACTTAAAAGAAAATTAAACAAATACTATATAATTATACTACAGAGTCCGCAATTATATAGACAAGCGAAATGCAGTATACGAAATTTCAAATGTAGGTTGACAGCTTTAATTCTTCATATTCACTTTTAATTCTTGCTAATAATATTAATAAAATATTACATTCATAATGGACTATTTAATAATGAAAATAGTTTATTGAATGTATATATTGAAATTGCAAATAACTATATAACACCTTTATAGTTGAAACTAACCACCAGATATATATTAGCAATAATATTATTTTTATATTATTATATTTATATGTTCATTATATTCATACTTATTAATATTATAATACGCTATCTATGAATATTCGATAAGTAATTTACTGAAAGGATAATTTTATTCGACATTAACAATAATAATGTCAAAAGATTAGTTTCGCCAAAAATCATGTATACATACATTCGGAATAACGTGCACAATGAACCTGATAACAGTTGCTTCATCAAGTCATGGATGAATTTAAAAGGGAAATTCTAATTCTATATATAGAATGTTGAAACTCGTGGAATGAACCAACGAATGAGACAGAAACAGACTGTGATAATGACATTTCAAAAAACCTCAAGGTGACTCAACGCTATGCCGCGAAAACGATGTTTTCGAATTGTCCAGGGAATGAAAAAGTAGTAAAAGAAAAGAAAAGGGAAGAAAATTGGAATGTGTATGTGTGCGTGATGGAGAGATAAGCAAAATTAACAAAAACGAAAGTGCTCTCTGCTTACTTCTCTATCTGACGACACTTTTCCGTTCTAAATAAGTTAGAAGGAACCGTAGAAATTTGTAGATTATGTATATTTACTCATGCGTCTGTCGTTTACACTCTTTATACATTTTAACCTCTTTCTTCTCCCTTTTTTTTCATACAAATTCTTAATAAACATAAAGAATCTAGTTATCTAATTTACATTAAACTATTCTAGTAATTTCTATTCTAGTAATAGTTATTTAATTAATAAATTTTAATAATTAATATCACCAAATTAATATTAAAATGGAAATATTAAAAGAAAGTAATGTTTTTTTTTAATCAATTTTAATTCATTCATTTTACGGAATATCCTATCAGAAAATTAACTCTTCAATACCTTTAAATTCTGTAAATATATTTCTGTAAATACACTATTAATTATAACATAAATTATATTATTTTTTGGTTTATAAATCTTTTCAATTGCTCAGTTGTTAAGATATCAATTATAGTATTTAAATGAATTTCAAGATTATAATTATATTTATGTTTAATAAAATTATAATGATTATCATAAAATATGGAAAATATTATAAATAATCATGCTATTTAATATTTAATGCATTGTGAATTTAAGTGTTGAATATAAATAATAAATTGTTAGCAAATTAAAACATTTCTAATGGTCCTATTTCAACATCTTCATTTAGAAATTAGTTGATTAATAATGTGAATAAATAATTTGTTAATAATAAATCTTAATATACATGTGACTTCACTAAACGTAATTGCACTATAATTATATGTAATAAATAAATTGTCTACACATTATTCATCTTCAAGCAATAAAATTAATTCAAATAATACGAGTTTATTTTGATTTGAATTAATACATATAATATATATATACATACACGTTACAAAAAGAAGAAAAATATATATACAAAATTTATCTGAAAAAGAAAAGTAACGAAAAAATCATTCTTATAATACATTTGTAAATATTCTTTTATATTAAATATCATAGAAAAAATAAAAAAAAATAACTTTATAATAAAATTAAAATTACATGAAACAACAATTTTTTAAATAGCTCAGTAAAGAGTACGATTATGATAATCTAAATAAATGTAAATAAATGTAAAATTTATACACTCCAGCAGTATAACGACATTTTTTTTTCATATTTTATAAAATTCAAGACAATGTAACATTATCTGGAATATTTATATCTTAAAATAAATCATTAAATATGTAATGAATTTTACAAATTGATTTCAATATACTGATTTCTATCAGCATACAAAGAATTGTTTTTAATTATCAGCATATTGTATATTTAAAGTTTTAAATATCTAAATATGTCATTTTTAAGTATGTAAGATTTTCAAATTTTACTTTACACAGTTTCTGCAATTTATTAATTTTTTTCTCTAAATAATAAAATTTCAATTAGATCTATTATACTGTTTTTACTAAACTATTTTTTTTTATACCAAGTTTTGTTTATTACTTTTTTACTATTTATACTAAAAAATAGATATCGGTATTATTATGTATTCAAAGTAACTTTGTAATATGTATAAATTGTTTTCATAGATAATAGATTAAATTTAGAGAGAAATAAGATTTATATTCAGATAATAATTATTTGTAAATATCGATTATTCGACAATTTAGATTGTAAAAATACGTGAATTATAAATTTTTCAATTAACTTGTGAGAAAAATTTTTTCTAAAAAAGCTCTTTTTCAAGTTCATATTAACTGGATTGTGCAAAATTCTCAATTATCTATATAAGTACTAAAAAACATATCCTTACCTTGCTGAGCGCAAAAGTCCGATTGCGTGTTCGTGATTATTGTTTCGTAATAACTTCTGAATTCTTTTCATCGCATCGCTCCTTAAACATAACAAAATAGATTAATTCGATATTTTGTCTGAGAACAAAAGACGATAATTGCCATATTATTTTGAATTATAATAAACGATTTATGAAAATCAATGCTTCAGTATATTAAATTATAAAAAAAAAATCATTTTAAAGGTCTTAGTTAGATCGAAAATTGAGAATTATTTTACACTGAAAACTAAATTTAATTTAAATGTAGCGTGTTAATTACGATAAAGTTTAAATTAGAATCTAGAACCGGTGTTTCAATAATTCTATTTGAAACTTTAAATGAATTTGTAGAAGATATTTTACACAAAGATTCGTTTGTCATTATTATATTACAACTGCATTAGAGGAATAATTACTCTTCATTTCATTTCTTAGAAATAAAAAATGTTTTCAGGTTAATTAATAATAATATTATTAAATAAAAGTACATTTATATTTACTATAAATAATGATGAAAAGAAAAATAAATATTATAATGCTGTAAATCTGTAACGAAATCTAACATGTAATTACTATCATTTATAAGTCAATAATAATAAACAGAAGTTTTTGATAAAAATATTTTATAAATATCAAGATTTGCTTATCTAAAAGCTACTAAATGGTAAAATATTCGAAAATTTTCATTAAATAAATAAATATACATACATGAATTTAATATTGTTAAATACTAGAGAGTAAATCATTTTTAAATACTACTTTATATAAAAATATTAAGACTTGTAATTTGTAATAATATTACAAGAATATATTCAACTAGAGAACATATTTTAACTATTATATTTTAAAACTGAATTTATTATAATTTAATCTACGTCTACATCTAAGTCGACGAAACATTGATTAAGAACTCTGAATAAAAATGTAAATTACAATCTTACGGAAATTTCATGTAACTTTGATCATGTGCCAAGATATAAGAATCCATAAGTTGAGATCTACTAACTGTAAGGATATTATAGAAAACCGATTAAATTAATTATATTAAAACAGAGGATAAAAATCCACATAGAACTAATTATAGTATTTGCGATTTGGTAAGGCTATCTACTTTAGGCATTATTCGTCTTGTTATTCGTTAATTTCTCTAGAACGTAAAAAGAGTCGAAACCTTTTAAAACTTATAAATTTTTAGTTAACAGCCAACACTATAGGACATTGTGACAGTATGTAAGTGAATGTAACATTACTATCATCATATATTCATACAAGTCAAAAAACTAAAATTCAATCAGATAGTTTATTTTCTGACAATAATTATCTTCAAATTCTACGGCATTACATCAACGTAATAAGGACATTTCAAACTTAATGATTATAAATAAAGTACAAAGCCAATTTTCAAGCGATGACATTCTTAATCTTGTAGCAGCAAGAGTAATCTCCGTGTCCATTAATAAACGATCGATAAACTCGTCTATAAATAATGACATTAGTGCACAGTGCAACTTGCCGATCGTTACACCTCTACAGACATGTATATATGTGCAAGCTCTGAAGAGAGTTAAGAGCCCTTTGGCAACCACGAAATTTCGTTGAAAATGCAAGATAGGAGGGAAAGGCGAGCAATTATTGAAAGTAAACACATATACTTGCGGAGCTCGACGTTTCTCTTACTCGGATGGCTTGAAGCACGTAAGTTGAATACTTTTTTCATTGGACCGCCTCTGGCCGTTGCTGCAGACGCTTTCGACTTACTCGTTCGCTACCTCACTCACACAATCACAAATTACGCGCGCGCGCGCATTTAGTGATCTAACACTTTCTTTCAAGGAACAAGAAGCACAGAAGTAGCGAGTATTATATTGAGAGTCGCTCAATCCAAATGCCGACGTACGTGAACTTTAAAAAGCGCATAAAATATATGCTCTATGTGCCAAGAAAAATGTTTTTATAAGTCGAAGAACGTTCTATTATAGATAAATATCATAAAAAGCTTCATGCTATGATTTTTCTTACTAGTTTTTAAATGATAGAAAAAATCAAAAAAAAAGTCAAAAAAAAAAATCAAAAATACAGGACAACTAAATATGAAATTTTCCGTAAAAGTAACAAGTACTATAAAGAATATTCATAAATTATTCCATTTGTAATCGAACATTTGCAAATAGATATTTGCTGAGTACCAAGTAAATGTCAAATTATAATACTTGATGAAATTTAAACCACTATCTTTGCTTTTTTTCCACTTTTTTTAAACGATATAAGTATACGACGACAATCCTTCCTTGAACATTACATTTACATATCTCAAAATTAACATAATATTAACATTTGCGCCGCAAAAAAAAAACCGAATAAAAAGAGAAAAGTTGCTTACTTTTGCTCATCTATAGGAGTGGCTATTGTGGCGTCGAATGGAATTACTTCCGGTATCGCATTCTGCTGCATAACGGCCGACACTTCCGGTCCCACAACGTCCCATCGATCTTCCCAACTCGGCGGCGGTCCAACAGCTGCCGTCGACGGACCGCTGCTCCTCGGTTTCGCTTCTGGGAGCATACAAAATTTCACTTTTTCCTATTGTATTTAGTAAATATTTCTTATTTTGATATTTAACGACATTGTGTGGATCGTCTACTACATCAATAAAGCTCTTTTAAAGGAAGCAATCAAAATTCATCCAAGTTTACATTTTTGTTAAATGCTTCGGCAATGAAATGTGAATTCGCCTTCAATGTAAACTATTCATTCTCTTGTAATTTGCATGAGCATTTATTGTATTGTGTTTGACTTTTATTTCATGAAAGTATAAATATTTCAAATATTATATACACATCAAAATTAAATTAATCAATTACGTTAGTTTTTTTTTTTTTTTTTTTTAAGGAATACCAATATTATGAATAATTATGTGTTAAATATGTCATCTATAAATTTTATAAAAAACAATAAAAGAAAAAACTGTTTAATGTCTCTTGAGCATTTCAATTGATAAAATAATTTAGTGGCTAGTTTATATTTGAATACACAGCACAGCTAAATGAAAATATATTAATTGGATGCACATTATATTGAGCTGAATCCATGCAAGTCCAAAAGCTCATTCGAATTTGACAAACTATCAAACTCATAAGCTTGTAGAAGCTTTTGAGTTTGAATAAATATCAAGTTTTGAAAAGTTTTAATTTGTTAAATTGTAAAAGATATTATATTTTCAAACTAAGAATTTTTATGTCCAATTAATTGTGAAATGAAATATTTTCGCTATTATAGACAATTATTTATATTGGCCGTATAAGTTGCAGTATTCGCTATAAATAAAGTAATCAAATAAATTTATATTTGATTTTATATATTATGTTTGAATTTGTCCTATTGAAGACATTTATTATACTTGAAAATACTATTATAGAAAACTAGAAAGTTCCATGAAATCACATACGTATGTCTACCAACTTGGAAGTTCGCTCGAGCCTAAAATACCGGATGAAGCTCGCAAGCTCGTGGCAGGTCATATGATCGTACGAATTTATTCCTTGACACGAGCAGGCTTAAAGTCGAACGCAAGTGAAAGAGTCAAACCTCTTCATACCCATCTCTAATGCTCCAGAACGCCGCATATTAAAGATTGACAAAAGAAAAAAACGAACTTACAAGTAAAAATTAAATACTTACTTTTTTTTGGCTGTTTACGTTTGATTTTCTGCACAATAAGGTGCTGTTGTTTATCACAATAGTTTTTTAACATCTTCAAAAAAATGTGTACAGTTGTGACCAAATCCACCAGATAATCTCTGTAATTCATAAAACAAGGTTCCGTAGCTTGTAGGATAAGAGGCCAGCAATAAAAGATAAACTGTCCAATAGTTTTTGTTAAATTAATCATAGATAAATCTATTTATTTATTAGATATAGTCCGGTAAATACATCAAAACACATCTTTTACAACAAAAAAATAATAATAATAATAATAAATAAATAAAAAACTATGCATTGCGGAAAAGTTTGGAGAAAGAGAAAGAGCGAAGAGGGAAAAGAAGAGAGAGAGAAAGAGAGAGAAAGAAAAACTTCCTCGCATTTCGTTTCATGTTTTCCAATGTCGACCGGAAGCTCGACATAGGAGTTGTTTATTCCGTCGGGCAACGGAGGAAAAAGCTAAAACGTGGGAGAAAGAGACGAGAGAAAGGAAGAAAAAAAGACAAAATAAAAAAGGAAGAAACGAAAAATGCGAAAGTGAGTGGTTGTGTTGTACACTGGAAAAAAGAGAAGAGACGAACGATTGAACTTCGAAGTTGCCTCTCCAATGTGTTTGCGGTAGATAAACCTTTGGGCAAATAGCCGTTAGAAACTCTCCCTGTCTCTCTCTCTCTCTCTCTCTCTCTCTCTATCTCTCTCTATCTCTCTCTATCTCCCCCTCCCCCTGATCTATGCGTTATTCTGATATAGGAGTTATAAATACTCTTCAATCAGAATAGATACATAGAAACCTTTTAATCTTTGTATTTTTTCGAATCAACGAATTGTATAAAATAAAAGTGACGCGACTCTAAATTTCAATTAGGTACAATTGTGAAAAATAAACCCTAAAGTATCAAAGCATTGAGAATGGATTTAAAAAGTATTATATTAAAATAATATGAGATATGAAAATTACAAAACTTAAAATACTAATTGATATAATTATAAGATAACATTTTACAACTGTAAATAATTAAACAAATTTTTTAATAAAAACTTTCAATCAAGCTTTATTTGGGCATTCAATTGTAAACAGTGAGACATTTACCTTGACATTATCAGTTCATTGTAATTAAGTAACTGAGATAGTATCGTGTCCCGATATTCCGGTACGTAGAAGATATTGCCCATTATTACTCGACTCGAGTTCTTCACGCCAGAATCAGTCGACTTGTCCATTTCGATCAACGTATACAACAATTCCTAGTAAATTTGAATGAATTGCAAACATTAGCATATTATGATAATGTTACATAAATATTATAGTGCAAGAAATTTTTGGGAACGAAAAAATTCTTAAGATGAGACATTAAGTGAGAATATGATGAATATTTGATGTTAATATTGATTTTACGTCTTCATATTTTCTTTTAGATAATGTAAATTACTAAATTATAAAATAATATTAGAGTGTATGTTAACCTGATAAGCCTTCAAGGCTAAGTGTAGTCTCGTTGACCAAAATGTTACCTTCTTCTTTTCGATATTGATCATTTCATAGTTATGTTCTATTTGTCTTTGTACAATATAGAACACTTCGGTTGATATTGTTTCACTGTAAATGAAATTTTTTTTTATCATACATTAATACTCCATAATAGATGTTATATTGACTAATTCGATAGATTATAATCGCATCTACGGCTTTAAATGCAGAAAAGTCATGGAATGTTATAGCTACAAAATATGTATGAATTTTCCGCGTTTCGACAATTAATGTTCCTTTATATTAATGCACGCGAAAAAAAAATATTTTCAAATTCTTATAATCAATGAATTCAATGAAATAAAAAGAATTATCAGTGAGATTGACATATTTAGGAAAAAGAGAAAAAGACACTTAATAATGGATAATTTAATAGAGATGATCCGAATTATTCGAGACACGAACATAAAAAGTAAATGGCTACATAATCAGTATAGAATATAACGAGGGCATGCATCGGGAATAAAAAGAGTCGAAGCTAAAAGGCAGCAGCCTCGCTATTTATTTAGCGAACAATAAAAGAGAGAAGTCGCGCAAGCCAATAAAAGCGTTTCATGGGGCATCGGGCAAAAAATTCGACGATGCGTAAAACGAGTTTGGAAACTAAATCGTGTTCGGGGCGTGACTCCTCGAAAGGGAAGGACCGAGGACAATCGACTGGTGGCGGCAGCGCCGGCGACAGACGCGGCGATGGGGTGGGGGAGGCGAGCGATATCGAGATGGCCAAGAGAGGGACCTACCTCACGTATTTCACGCGGAACTTGTAATGGCGATTGAAGCTCATGAAGAAGTGCAGAGCCCAAAGGTAGTGGCTCGCGTCGACGGTCGCATAGTTGCCCCCGATGATGCAGGAGCGGGCGTAACTCATCACCGGGTTGTAGGCGCCGTTCAGGAATTCCACGCAGAACTCCTTGAGAAAGAGACGTACGCTGAGGGCGGACACGCGCTCGTCCCCGAAGCTCATGATCCCGCTGTTGTTCTTCCGCTTTTTCATCTTTTGCTGCGAGCAACAAACAGTCGTTGACTTTCGTTGAATGCACTCGTACTTGGGCCATTTCCCTAGCAATGAGGCTTCGCTATGTCGCCATTAAGAGCCCTACATTGCTTCGCCCTCGGCATTATTTGACTTACTTTGGTAACACCAAACTACTGTTCTACCCATTGCTATTTATTCGTCAAAATTCCTTCTAATAAATTATTTCCCCGACATTGTCTTCATAACCATTAACAAACAAAAATCATCGAAGAACAATTTGCAGCCAATGCATTGACAATGAAGTAAGAATCTCATATACAATTACCAAAACAATTCCTTTGAAGTTTTCATATATACTGCTACAGACAAGTCGTTACCACGTTTATTAAAAGTATTAAAATTTTCTTAAAATGAAAGGAATTGTAGGGCGGTGCGGTCCTGGTAGCCTAATGCGCTTTCACATCGACATTAAGATTGAAATAGATACACTTGTAAATGTAAATAAATATCAGTGAAATGCTATATATTATTTTATTTTTCAAAAATTGATAATTTTTGCAGTATAATGCATTATTTGTCAGATAGGCATACACGAAAACTGTCTGTATATAAAAATCATGAAAAATTAGATAAAGAATTAAAAAGTCTATAGAATTAACAATGTTTCTTTATGAAATCTTAATTCATTTGTGTAATTCTATGTAATATGTTAACAGAATAACATTATATTCTATTAAAATATCGAGTAAAAATTATATTGTGAACATTTTTTAATTTACAGTAAGATCTCAAAATTAATTATCAAGATACAATTGTAACATCGGATGTAAGTGTAAACTATATAAAACCAAGTATTCATGCGAAATTTAATGAAAATGTCATATAATACATTACACTAGACTACACTTTGACTTACTTTCACGGAAGCATAATTCTAATAAATATTATGTAGAATTCATTTTAAAATTAAAAGACCTTCGCATTCACATATTATTGCGACGATTCTTAAAAACTCGAATTTTAAGGAAAATCAAGCAAATAAAAATAAAATGTATGTATTACGCTAATTTTGCAATGTTCTTCCGATTTTCATAAACATTAAAAGAATGTATACAACTATTCGTAAATAATAATAAAAACATTATGCAATGGAATTACCAACATTTTTCATAAATATCATACGAAGAAATTTCACAGACGTTTTTATAATATTTAAAAAATTTTCTCATAACTGAGGGAACATTCTTATAAATACAATAGCTATTTTTATTACCTTTGAACATAAATTTCTTTATAACAATTATTATCTTTAATTTATTGATTATAATGTAAATTTATACTCTTGTAGTAAGAATATTTAGTACTTTTAATAATTTTTATCGTACAAAATTTAAGTATTCGATAATATGTTTATAAGAGTAATTGCTACAGAAATAAATAATCATGAAAAATTTAAGAAATTCAGCAAAATAAGAAATATTACTCTTTAGCGAGAGTTTCAATAGTGACAGCAAAATGGAATTCGTCCTGAATTTTTTATATTACGTACAAAAGAAATTAAAAAATTAGTGAATGAAACCATCACGGAATAAGGAATTTATAAAATTTCCTGCTTAATTTAACCGAAAGTCAATAAAATATAAATGTTTACTTTGTCAACCCCATATCGTTATTACGTAGGTTTTTTTACACACGTGAAATGAAAATTAATAATTAACGTGTGAACGGAGCTTTAAAAAGAGCTTTTCTTCCATGCACAGTGAGAGGAATGTTCTGACATTCGCGTGCTCGTATCTCATGAAATAGATTTGATTTAAATGTAACGACACAAGTTAAGCTATTTTTCGAAATAGAAAAATGCCTTACGGCCAATAATTTAAGCTAATAGGTTGCGGTATTATCGTTAACGTGAAAAATGCACGAGCTGTTAGTCTGATTTTAACGAAGAACCGTAATAACTCTCGAATGAAGCCATGCATCTACCAGCTGTTGGACGAAGAAAAAAAAAGCAGCCAATATCCGTACGAATGAGTCGCTGGCCAAAAGTCCAATTCGATTTCAATCTCGCGAGCAGACTTTCCCTCCTTCCGGTCTCGCGGGCATGCACCTGCGCACGCAGATAGTAACATTCGGGGAAAAAGAGCCGAACAAAACGTTAATATCTAGGCGAAGAGGAAATTCCGCGCCCCGGAACGAGAGAGACGAAAACGAGACGGCGAAAGGAAGTTTGACCTACTTCCGGGGATAGCGCTCGGTCCTGCACCCTGGAGCAAACGAATACCGGAAATGTGGTGGTGGTAATGATGACGGTGGTGGTACTGGTGACTGGTGGTACTAGTGGTGGTGGTGTGGTAAGGCCGATATAGCGAGCACTAATTACGCCGAGATAGCCCTAATTAACAGGCGTATATTCGTTAGGATTCGCGCGGCTAGCCCGTGGCCACGGCTAATTGATTTTTTCCTCTAAACAGTGAGTTCAAGAGTTGATGACGAGCTTTTAAGCAGTTTCCAAGGAGAAGCACTTGGTCCAATAGCGAGTAGCTCCGAGCGAGGGTGAGGGTGAAGTGGTAAGACCACAATTCTTCGATATTCGACGCTACTCACCTTGGCTTTCACCGCGACTTCTTTCGATAAGAGATAGTATTTTTTTTTTGAAATGGTTTTCCTTAAATTTCGATGTTCTGACTCTTTGGATCTCATATTTGCTAAGCACTCTCATGAAACCTATTACAATTAGCAGCGTTATTAATTATTATGGCAACAGGATGATTAGTTCAGTTGATTAATTTCTGATTAATTGATGAAAGCTGTATAATTGTAATGTAAATTTGAGATAAAAATCGTAATAACGAACGAGCCGTGTAAAAGCAAACAAAATGCAATTAAAAAAATATTCGAGTAATAAAAACATCGATTGTCTTTCCGTAATTAACTATTGAAACGACGATATTTATTATAAAGTATATTACAATGATTTCAATTTTATTTCTTTTGATATGCCGCTTCGATCTTAATATTGATGCATTCAACGAGAGAATTCTAAGTATTTTCCATCAATTTGTAAAATACATTTTTTTTTTTAATTATTACTTTAAGGAATCCATTTAAAATATTAAATTAATGCATAGAAATTCCACCAAAATAATACAAAAATTAAAAGAAAATTTCTATTATAAAAGAAAATTTAAATATTACGGTAATAATTCTTTTTATATATGGCTTCATTATTCTATGCAGTATCATATAATATATATTATAATTGTCTAGATAACTGTATAAGCTTACGCTCTAAATATACTCTATATCTAGAATTTACAAAATATAATATAATTTTTTATAATAATTCACTATGTCTAGAAAAATGAAAAATAAAAAAAATACAGCTAATAAGCTGCAACTCTAATGTATAATGCAAATAAGATAAAATTTTATTTTCCTATTTTAATGTTATTTGATTTAATGTTTTTGTATTTCAAAGTTTAAATGATTAAATACATTAAGAACAATAAATTAAGCCGAAGAAAGGTATAGTGCACTTCTGATAGTTTTCTTTTCGTAATTACAATGATTGATATCATAGAAATAACAGATAAAAGTTGTTGCAATCAACTAAATTATATTTAGTTATATATGTATATATATATATGAAGACTGTTTAATTTTTATTAAATATAAATAAAGAAATAATGTAATATATATATAAAAAATTAATTAAACAAATTAATTATAATATAAATTAATAAGGAATTATATACGCGGACAAATATTATATGTTAACACTTTAGACATTATAATTTCTTACCTTAGTGACACTAAAATTTAAATCTTCAATTTTTTGATAAGGTTTGTGGCAGAGCATTTCATTATCTCCAATGGCCTTCATGTTCTGAACAACGTAAGTACCTCCAAATCTGGAATGCCTGAAGTAATAAAATTGTTTATTCTTTACTTTATGTTAATTATTTGAAAGGAGAGAGTCCGTTCGAAGAATACTATATGAAATTATTGTCTTTTCATTTCCATCATTGTATATATTATATGTAATTAAGCTTTCAGAGCCAAAACAATGCGAATAAAGTGGAAACGAGTTGCGATAAAATTACGGCAATTAAATTTAGACTGTTTCACAATACGTACAAACTATAATAGCGAAGAGGGTAATGAAAGACATTAAGACTATTAAAACAACGGATGCGTTTTTAACCAAAAGACAAAATAAAAGATAAAAAGATTTCATACACCATTAACGATAAAAGTAACCGTAAATTTAAAGTTCACAACCTATGAGTTTGTATACGAATTTAATGATTTATGTATAAATAAAAATGTTATGGTTACGATTAGTTTGTTACACAATCGATTACAATATATAAAATTCTTATTTTCAAAAATGTCATTATTATTAACTTATTAGCTCATTCTATTACTCGTACAACAAATATTATAAAAACTGATTATAATAAAAAAAAAAAAATGGAACAATATCGAAACACTTGCTCAATACGCGTAACGCAATAAGCTAAATTCTCTTTACATAAAAAGTATCCAATTGTAAGTACATTTAGGTACAGAGCCAAGTACATTTATCGACAGATTTAAAATGAAATTATATCGTTGGAATGATTTATAAAATAAAATTCAAGAAATGAATGAATATGTGGAAATTAAAACTGCTAAATACTAATGAAATGATATATCAACAATAGCCTTTGACAATAATTAAAACAATGAATTCGTCATTGCAACATTATTAAATATTATTAAATAGAAGAAGTAGCTTCTTCCACCTAACCGTCGGCAAAAGCAACGAAAACAATAAAATATTCATTTATATCCATTAACATTAAAATTCAGGCCAAGAATAGTTGAAGCCCTCAACGGACGTAAAGAAAAAGCATTTTCTTTTTGGGAACATGAAAATAAAAGGGGGAAGAATAAAAGAAACGAGATATGTCGCGAAACCCGCGACCGACTTCCCAGTACAAGCAAGTGGATAATAGCATCATCCAATGAGCCACCAGTACCACTATTTCTACGATTTTTTATTCACGAAAACTGGGTCATATTCATTACATTTCCACGAGGGCACCGCAGGCGAGTGCAAAAAGACTCCTCGAGCTTCTTCCTCGCCTCGCCTTTTGAGCTTCTGCTCGCTGCGTATCCGCGCCGCCGAGCGAAAATCACATCCGTGGCTGTCTTGGAAGATCCAGAGCGCGAGAGTCGAATTGCAAATTACCCGATGGCAAATGCTTCACGCCCTCGTATACCGAGGATCGTACGTGTACGTGTACGTGTACGTGTACGGCTTTTTAATAGCACATCGGAATTTTTGTTTTATAGAAAGAGTTACACTGCCGGATAATACGAGCTTTATTAACGTTTTTAAATCATAGCTCCTGAAATTCTAAATAAAACCCCTTGCTCTTCCCTCTCTATAGCTATGAAATTACGTATTTGAATCTATTTATGTATTCGACTTTGTGCCGCTGGTATTGAGTGAACTACCATTATATTGCTCTCTTAAGATTCAAGTAATTCAATAAAAAAATAAGCCATTTCATGCTGTCCTATTAATTTTCTCTTTATATAAATAGTAACGAGGGACGATTTTGACGAGCTGAATACTAACGACGGTAATAATTTAATGATTTTGTTGAATGATTAATTTGTATTCGTTGGTAGCTTTAAAGTACCTGGTTATTTTCTTTAAAAAAAAAAAAATATATATATATATATATATATATATATAAAGATTGTATGTAATTAATATAAATATTAGTCCTTTTTATAATTTTACTGACCAAATTTTCATGACTAATTAACGTATAAATTATAAAATTATAATATTTAATATACTTGTATCGTCGAGCTATTTAATTAAATGTAAACCAATCAAAAGTTTCAGGCTACCACTTTTAGCATTATTAAGTGGCTCATTTAATTTCCATCGTATTTATTTTATATACATTTTGGTTTATTTTAAATGCACCAATTATAATTGCACTTCTCTATACATGTATGTACACGCATTTTTACATTTGTGAGAATGAGCATATGAGTGAGCAAGTGTTTGTTCCAATTTGTGCAAATATGTAGGTGGATGCGAGTACGTGAATGCTCTACTGTTGAATAAACAACATATCAAGTATATATGAACCGTTAACTAACGCGAATATTAATTACGAATCTTAGTTAAGAATACTTTATATTGATTTTTATAAAGCTGATAACTTTGTATTTAAATACAAAGCTTTTAAATATTATATATGCCTATACGCTGTACTAGCTAAAATTAATTTTAATATTATGAATATACCTAGATCCAGCATATTTTTTCATTTTCGATATTTTCTCAGATTTTTCCTTCTCTCGCATAATCGTAAGTCTATCTTCATCGTATTCTTTTTCAGCGGCACTTCGTTGCATTTCAGCCTTAGCAAGTTTGACAGGATTTTGACCTTGTAATAAAAATGATACGATCTAAGAAAAAATAAAAATGACAGCTTGCATTTAATAATAAATAATAATTAAAGAAATAATTTGTAGTAATGAATATTACTTCTAATATCTGCATGTGATATTGTTGCTCTACATTGGTACTGGCAATATAAACAAGTAGGTCAGAAATTCCAGAAGTGTGTAGTGCGAATAAAACCTGAGACAATAATATATCACTATGATTATTTAGTTGAATTTTTTAATTCCCAATCGTACATTCCTTATAAATATTCTAATTAATTTTGAGTGAGTAACGCTTTCTTATACGACTGAAATTTTAAATTACAACTAGCAGATTATTGTATTGGAAATATAAAAATAATATAAGGGAAATGTTAAAACTAAACATAGTCTCTGTTTGTTTAAATAAAAATTAAGACAATTTAAAATTGTTCTAAAAATCTCCACCTTGTCCAAGTAATGGAAGAAAGTTAGTTTCAAAAATAGTCTCTTTTTATACCTTTTGAAATCGTAGTCTTTGAATAAATTTCAAAAGTGATTGCATTCTCAATGGACTTTTCGAAAAATTGCTTCAAAACTTTAAAAGAAGGTAGATATTTTCAGGACCCTTTCATATGCATTCAAGATTGTTGGAGGCAAAACTATCGATAAAACAGAGTTCTAATTTATATGTAATCGTGAACTATTATAAATACTTCCAAAGGAAGAGAACGATATAATGCTTATTGAATAAGTATGCGAGGTACCTTAGCAATAAATTACTAATTCTAATTCAATTAATTCTGAAAAATCACAGTAAATTAAAAAATTCTATTATTCTTACTGTGATTCACAGTATTACCACCATGAATTGATTTGTATTGTTTTTATATTTCTCATTGCGCATTAATGTTTGTACTTCAAACTTACCTCATCATGAACAGTTGTGTCATTATCCATTCTTTTATCATAATCGCTAGGTGGTACCCTCAAAATATTCCTTATTAAAATAAGTATACGCTCTAGTATAGTACTATTTTCTTCCCCTCGCTCTGAACTTTCCTGTAATTAATTATTATTTACTGTATCAAGCTAATATCTCAATTACTCCTATGAATTAAAAACTTACAATACTTAGGACATTTTTTAACTTTTCATGCACAACCATCCAAACAGCATCATTAGCCATTGCTTTTTTATATTGCTGCAAGTGTGACAGTATCTGCAGGTAATAACTTCTGGTAATTTTCTCAGCTGGAAGTTCTTCATTATAAATCATTAATACAGGACTGGTTAAATTTATTAATAATCTGCAAAGCAAAGGCATGGTTTACACAGAAATTGCAGTTGATACGCCAGTTATCGATAAAGCTAGGTAAAATACCTTAAAAGTATATTCCAGAATTCAATTTTATCCGAATGTTCAACAAAAATTTTTAGTAAATCTTTTTGTAATATTTCTGACTGTCCAAGGTAACGACGAATGGAATGTGTATCGTCATCTCTTCTAAGGTACCTGATTAAATCCTTTATTACCTCTGTAAAAGATATTTGGAATATATATATATATATATGTACGCATACATATTATCATTGTGTAAATTCTTTAGTTAAATATATTTTACCTATACTGTTTTTATCCAAATAAACTTTATTTCCATCATTGTAACCAAGTGCATCGCAAGTTGCCGTTAATTCAGCTAGAATCGCACTAGGTATCTGAATATCTCCGGGTATCATTTTCATTCACAGCCGTTACCCAACAATTACTAATACAAAAACACAATCAATAAATTAAGGTAAAATTTTCAATTTAATCACAAATTAGATAAAAGTATTGTAATTTCAATTGACTATCGCATCGCTTAAAAAATTTACTGAATCTAGCTTGTGTAATATAATATGAAGCAACTAATCTTCAATAATCACTCATCAAAACACCAAGGCGAATGCTTAGACGACCTTATAAATTGAATGTCTCATTGACAAATAATTGTTGTTTAATCAAACGTGCATTTTATCTATCTGCAATAACTTTACAACAGAAACATAAACAAAATGTCAAAAAGTCTACTACACTAAATAATTGGCAAAATCCAATTCTTTATTCTAACAAGTGTCATTCAATAATACCAAGGTCCACACGAGAGGTTATGTTGAAAAATTGACTGACTCGATTATCTCATCCATACACAGATCCTATAAGTAGCCAGAACACTATTCAATTGGTTCCTTATGAAGAAAAATGTCCCATGCAAGTGTCAAAGGGAATACATTGGAAGAAAAGTAATCCTCGAATACATTGAAACATGCTGTCAGGCCGGGCGCACTGAACTTCTTGATTCTCAGAAAACGCGGGAGAGGCTACGATTGGTCGGCAGTTGGGCTGCGCAGATCGACGCGCCACTTTTCAAATCATGAGCTTTTGACATCTCGGTGAAAGCACGGTGTCGAGTGCCGCTGAGTCGGCAAAAGTAGCAGGCGGCTAATATGTTGCTTAAATGAAAAGAGACAATATGAAATCATAGTTGCCTACTTTTAATCAGTTGATCAAAAAAATGTGATTATAGTGACAAGGGGGAAAGGGAACGATAACCATTACCTAGGAATATTTGTTATGAAATGGGAAATATATTTTCGTTTTGCGCAGTCGAGCGACGAGCAAATATTCATGTCATTTGACCATTTTATTTAGCAAAGTTTTATTAGAATCCACGACTGTTGAGTTGTTTTGCAGAAAGTGCCAAAGTGATAATTGTATATTAAATTTTACATTAAATTCTTAAGCTATGGAAAGCAGTTATTCTGCTATTCATAGTTTTATTCGAGGGCCGTAACAAACTTTTCTAAATGCTCTAATGAGATGAAAATCTTAAAAGGGAATGGAAAACGTCTCATTGGTACGAATGAGACGATTTGTCAATGCTCGTGTACAACATACTGGTATTTCCCATAGTTGTGTGTGATCCTCGAAAGGAACGAATCATTGGCACAGCCTTCGGAGAAACATAATCATCGGATATTGAAACCAGAGAAAAACCCTTAGTTTCCTCACTGGTTAATAAAAATTACAAAAAACAACAACAACAACAACAACAACAACAACAAAAATAAATAAATCGAATGAGAAAAACAAAGCAGCGCTCGGATGCAGCTAGACGGACAGGGCGGAAGGGTTGCAACGGGGCAACGCTCTTTCCAAACGCTCTTAACGTTAATTTTGAAAAATGAACAAACTCGTGAAAAGAGGGACGCGCTGCCGGTTTATCTGAATCGTCACACAAGAGCCTCTCGCGGCAAGGAAGTTTAGTCGTATCTTGTATAGACGATCGACGGAGGGGTGATAGGGGAGCCCCGTCCGTTAATTAATTAGCGGCTTTGTGCCCGTCATACATAAAGCTGTCGTGCAGCGTGGGGCGGCGTGCTTTTGAAGGGACGCCGGGCGTTCTTATCGGGCCAAGGAGCGCGACAACGAAGGGAGCTTGAAGCCCGGAGATAAGGCTGCGGGTAGAGGATGCAAAGAGTTGAAAGACGGTCGAACGAGGGTGCTGCAGACGGGTGGCTCGGGGCACGTTAATCCGCAAATAATGCAGAGACGCGGTCCCGTGGACTTTGCGGGAGTCGCATCTCGTGAGTCTGCCGCTCGATCGTCAATTATTTAGTGCTTTAAGCCGAGTCTCGGCGATTGTCGGCTAGTTTGCTCTCCTCGCGCTGTTTGCCAATTTCTTTGATAATTCGAGGGGCTTTGATAAATGACTGACGGCGCGCGTTGGGAAATCGTCGCTGCTCTGCGACTTCTACCATTGCTGGTTGCTGGAAACGAGCGACTCTGCACGATCGCCGCGCGGAGTTAAAGTCGTGAAGGCGCATCGCTTACGTTAGCCAAGCGAGTGGAAGGGACACGAAGCCGGGCAATCGTGAAAAATGCCATTATTGCCCTTTGTGATTTGTATTTGCGCTCAAGCGATCATTGCAGGGGAACAAAATTGATGCGCCTGTCATAGTAATGACATCGAGGTCGTTTCGACTTAAATACGCAGGACTTAATGTTCCAGTGCACTGATGACAATGATATTTGATTCTATATTCAATATTCTAATAACGAGCCTTTTAAAGTCGATAAGCAAGCAATAAGGATTTTAAGGCGTAAGATGATGTTGCGTAGCGAAAGTATAATGAATAATTGTGAAACCCAAGTCCAAAGTAATAGAGAGATAATAAGACTTTAAGTAGACCTTTTATGGAGCTTGGCGTTGTATGTGTGCATAAGCTTTATTAGTCGAAAGTCATGTGGGTCAAATTCAGCTACTTAAAAGCCAATTAGGAGTTATAAATATAGAGCCCGAAAGCAGCTGGGCATTGGCAAATAAACGTTACTTTTTACTTAGTTACGGGCTGCTGGCTCGTTCAAACCGCTGCTTAAATCAATGCACCTCGCACGAAAAATTTAATAAACCGTAATTATGAAAATTACATAGGGCGAACGCAGTTGGTACACGTACGGAAAAAAATTATTGCGAAAAAGGCAGGCCATTGAGAGGGAGCTGGGAAATTTGGCGAGTGGTGGAAAGTTTGCAAATTTAAAAATCGACGACGAATTCTCACGTTGCGCCGGTCGAAAAGGAATCGACATTTACGCATATGCAAATAATGCGCTATGCAGAGGCGCGAAACCACGAATAAGGCCTTGATTTGCATAAAATTAGTCCTCCAGCAGTGGCCCGGGATTGACCTCGATTCGTCCTTAATAATCGGTAGGGAGGACGTCGCATCTGCCGTCTTCATTAATGTCGTCACGCTCACGTCGGTGCGATTCACGCGGATTTATAGGAACATTTTAGCCTTACGACACATACCCCTGCCAACCTGCTCTTCGATTCCAAATCGCCGTTATTGATCAAAGGGTCCCTGCAACGAAGCAGTGATAATTTGTAACTCGCGAATAAGCGCCGTCATTTCTCTTGAATTATGGTACACGCGTAAAATAGTTGGAGACTATAGAACACGGATGCTGGGTCTATAATCACAGTGGATCGATTAACGGTTTAAAATGAAAAATTATTGGCAGTCGATGGAGATGCATCATAAAGGATGTCGTCGGCTGCCTGATTTTAACCAAAGTGATTTGACATCGGCAGAAGGAACTAATTAATTTTAACCTACTTCATTTACCTTTTTAGCTTTGATGTTTATTAATAACAAAAAAATCTGATGAATAATGCATGCCATTATTTGAGATTAGTACAATTTTTAAATACTTCGTGTCTTTTACTTCTCGGCGTTAAACTAATCAAGCTTGAATGAAAGCATATGAATTTTGTTAATGATTAGCGATATTTCGAATTACGTTCACAAATTTTTCAGCGTTTCTTCATACCTAAGAAATCATCGAATATTTACATGCAATTGAATCTTGGAAATGATATAAATCTTAATAAAAAGATAAAGCTAATTAAAAGAGACATTATAACTATACAATATATCTAAAAAATATCTCTCTTATCTTAACGTGTGCTTTATATCTTTATATATTTCTTTATATCTTTATCTTTATATCTTTTTTTTTTATCATTAACTTTATATCTTATACTTATAAGAAAATATACCTGAAAATTAGTAATCAGCATAGCTGTAAAGAGAGTAATTGATACAACTTATAAAAATTGTAACAATCTTGTGGTATATTATATGATTAATTTTAATAGATCCATGTGCAGTAAAATGAGAACAATCCACACGTATTTATAAATTAAAATTTCAAAAGTCACGAGCACTTTAAAATCATCGTTTTTATACACTTATTTTTAAATTAATTAAACTAATTCTGTGGCTACATAATTAAATACTGACAAGGTATAATTCCATGTAAAGACAAAAAAAAATAAAATAAATGATAAATAAATAATCTCTATAAATATACCTCCAATAATTCATTAATAATAAAATTTAATAAGTGTAAAATGACTTGGAAATTTATAGTCCCGATAAAATTTCATTGATTGAATGAGCTTTTTCTTACTAAATTTTTAAAGACTCATTATTTATTTGAAAAGACTCATGTCGTACGCAATTCGTGTAAAAACATTTCAAGCCCTACTTTCTCTTATCTAACATCTCGTATGCAATAATATAAAATTGTTTGCAAATTAATCTATATAATCAACGTACAAAGTAATATACAGACATCCACGGAAAATCGCTAATAATCGGCAAATTCAGTTATTTACGTTAATGACAATGGAGATGTCTAGGGAACCTAGAGGTTCGTACATTAAACATGCAGCTCAGTATATGAGCAAAAGGACAATTGATTTTCCTACGACGGTATTTCTGACTTCGATACGAACGACACATAGCGGAAGGAAAAACGAAAGTAAAAGAGATCATCATTTGCTAAAGAGCAGCCAAAGGAAGAAAAAAAACTTGTACGTACAAGCGCTGGAGAAGCCCTGATTAAATATTATAAAATATTCAAATGAATAAGTATTTGCAAGTGAGCAGCAAGACATCGTAAACTTTTCCACCTTTCTCATAAGCGGGCTTAAAGAAATTTCCGTCATTTAAACGTTAAACAAACTCCCCTGGGATACTCGCCTAAGCCCCGCCATACCATCGACCGCGGCCTCTTCCCCCCTCTCCATCTTGTACATCGCGACATCCCACCCATTGCCCATTACCTACCACCACACGACTCCTCCATCCGCCGAACTTTTACAAACTTCTCAAAAACTTTCCTGTTAGTTTAATCCGTCAGTTTAATGCAACAATGCATTTAAATACGAATACTCTAGAGTGCGAGTACACACGTACGCT